AGATTGTTTCATATCGGTGTACTAAATACATTCATTTAACGTTTTGACGAGGTCTACAAGTGCTATGTACCTTATTGTGGAGGGATGTGGATGTACAGTGAAGAGTGAAGATGTCTTGTTGGGTTTGGTTTGTGTTTTACCTATACCAGTATTTTCAGTATCAGCAAGGATTGAGTGAAACTTTCAAGTCGGCATGTTCACTCATGTTCACTGATGTAGTTTTCTCAAGAGTTAAAAGCTTTTTTAATATTTTTGTGGCTATCACAAAAAGCTGTCAGAGAGTATAGAATCATTACTTCAGATATTTTTAAGGAAGTGTTGTGAATTATTACAAGAAATCTCTCGATAATACCGAATAAATCTTTTTTGAAAATTTCTTTTCAACATCAATTGGTGGTGGTGTTTTTTTATTTGATATTGTGTTAGTATATTGGAAATTACCTTTATACTTTTTTTAATCAAATAAATGGGTTTTGCTTACAACTTTTCCTCTTACAATTGAAGGATAGGGAAGACTGCGGGGTTTTACATGTGAGAGTTCTCGCACGGGTGTGCAGAGGTAGTAGGGGAAAACTTGTGCTATGGCACAACACAAAGAACAAACATTTTAAATTAACTAAAGTAGTGTAGTAGTAGCTTAAAATAAATGAATTTAAAATATAAAAAGAATAGTGCAAGTCACTCGACTGCCAATGATGACAATCCATATGCACAATTTAAATGTTGGCGGTATTAGGAAGTCTGTACATCATTGTCCAGCTGTAAACTCATATTGTAAATAATACATTTTTTATATTAAACTTAAAGTGTCGATTCACTAAGATATTCATTGCGTAAACATTGTTTGATGAACATTCCCATGTACTGAAGTGAAGTCTAACCCTACTGAATTGTTTCTAATAGTAACAAATGGTATTTATTACTCAAAGGTGAAAATGTGAGTTTTATTATTTTTTGGCTTGGAATTGCTTTTCTTAAGGTACTAAGAACAGAGAAAATAATCCAATTCTTTTTTGTATACAAATAATTTTTCAACTTTGCCCCCCAGCAAGTTGGCACCCTACTCCTCCAAAACCCACTGTTCCTCATAACAAATCCAGGAAAATTAAATAATATTGCAAAGATTAGGGTTGTACATGCCCAATCCTTCATTTTCGCATGGTAAACTTCACTTAGCTTTCCCAAGAGTGAAAACCTTTTCTAATATTCTTGTGATTATCAAGGAAAGCTGAAAATTAACTGTCAAGGAAGATTTAATTATTACTTCAAATGTTTTTAAGGAAGTGTGAATTGTTCAAAGAAGTTAAAGTAATACTGAATCAATTTTTTATTCAAAATTTATTTCCAAAATAATTTCATTGTTTTTATTTTTGTTTGATGTTCTGTATGTACGGAGTTATATTTATACATTTTGTAACAAATAACCACATTTCATTAACAACTTCCCTTCTTATTGGATAGGATAGGGAAATGTATGGGAAAAGTGTGGGGATTGACATACAAGTTCTCACACGGGTGCACTAATAAATATATCACTTAGCTGTTGCTTGGTTACCAATTGCCAAGGCATTTCACTACTACATTGCATCAGACAACTTGAGAAACTTAACATGTTCTTGGTGTGATACATTATCAGAAGTTAATTCTTAAGAGAATTATTGTGTGTTTATTATTAAATAAATTAGGGGTTAATTTTCTTTGGATGATTTTTGCAGGCAGCTGCGATTGCTCAACTTCAGCAGCAGTTACAGCAGCAACAGCAGCAGCAACAATTGAAATTACAGTTGCAACAACAGCAGCAGCAACAGCAGCAGCAGCAACAACAGCAGCAACAGCAGCAGCAACAACAACAGCAGCAGCAGCAGCAACCGCAACAACAGATAAAGCAGCAATCACAACAGGTTGCTGTATCAGGTGTAGGGACAGGTCAACGACTTGTCACTACAATGTCGGTTTTGGGACCAGGCCAGCCAAGAGTGATCACACGAGGTGAGTATTTATTTGATGTTATTCACGATACCAGTAATTTTTTTTAAATAACGCTATTTTCTCTTTAAAAGAAACAATGAAACGTTTTGTTTTTTCATATCATATACATATATCGAAAGTGGTCTTCCTACTAAAAGGTTGAGATATCTTTGCTGGGTCTGAAATATCTTTTAAACTAGATATTTCTGTATCAGCTTGTTCAAACAACTACACAAACAACAAATCAAAATTGTTTTAGGGCAGTTCATGTCAGCAACTGAAAACAAAATGTGTGTAACATTATCTTTTGAAACTTTTACCTTTGCAGTGGGAGGGAAACCTATCCCAGTGTCTCATGTTACGCTGGCAGCTGCAGGCTCTGGGACGCAAGTTGTGACTGCTGGAACCACAGTGGCACGAACAGTTGTCACACAAGCGGCACTAGCTCAGCAACAGGCGCAAGGTCGGCTGCAGGGCCAAATGATTTCTGTAGAGAGTTTGCTGGCCCAGCAGAAACAACAGCAGCAACAGAAACAGCAGCAGGTGAGAAAATTCAAATTTTTGAAGATGAAAATTAAAAGGCACTTTAATGGGCCGCCACAAGGAGACCTGTAAATTGTCAACGAAATGGGTGTGGAACACAAAAGAGCTTCACTTGTTTAGTGAAGAAGAATAGTGTAGTTGAATTAGGCTTAAATAAGACAGTTAATAAGAGAAGTGTCCCTAAACTGCAACAGCTCTTCAGTCACACCACTGTAAAACTTAGATGGGACCTGGATGATGCTCATTGCTTTTGGTGAAAAACTTCCCTGCCGCTAGTTTTGATTGTAGACCAACTGACTCTTCATTGTAAATTCATTTTTCAGTGTCAAGGACACCCAAAATATGGATCCTGGCTACACACTGTGTTAGAGGAAGTAATTTATTGCATATCGCACCTTCGATAGAAAAGTGACACAAGTGCAAATTTCTGATTTCTCAGAAATTGCAATTGTAAGTTTCATAGTTCTCTAATACTTGTTATAGATTGTACCAAATATTCACCTTCTAGTGGACAGTAATTGAACTAATTCAAAATCAACTTCAGAATAGTAGCAGTACCTCATGGTTACCTCTTATCAGCTTTTAGCTGAAAAATGATGATTTTGCACTTGTGTCACTTTTCTATTGGAGGTGCGATATAGGAATAAGACTTCCATTTTTTTTGTATCAGGGCTTTGCAAAAAAAATGTTTGTATTGAAAAACTGCTGTTTTTTGCAGCAACATTAGAATACTTTCTTGAGTAGTCAAGAAATATATACAAACAGCCATTGCGGCTAAAAAAACACTTCTTTGATCACAAGAACCCTCATAATGGATTTTTACTGTTGAAACTCAGATGGCAAATTTTTGGGCTGAGCTCAGGAAAAGTGGAAAAACATTTTTGAGCAATTTTCATTGTTCAACACTTATATGAGAGTTTCAACACTGGTATTAGAGCTTGAAAAGTTTCAGAAAAGATCATGAATCTTCCTTAAGTATGAAGTCTATGTATGATAAGCTTGAACCAAGTTCTGTTTGGTGCGGAGGAAAAAGTAATATTACTTCAGAAAATTACATAAAAAGTGACGATTAAACCATGTAAATAGGGGATTTTGAGGTGCCAATAGATATAAAATTTTAACCTTGGGAAGAGCTACACTTTATTTTCATCCTCAGGGCAATAAGAAATGAGAAAGAAGCAAACACTATTACATAAAGCTATAAAAAATGTGTCAGATACAATTCCGCTATCTAGATCCAGTTGAACACTTTGAAACAATTTTTTTACAAGAGTTACATCATCCACCAACAGAGAATACACATAATTAAATACACTGCTACATATTCTTGATTAGGGCATCTCACAGGATGTGAGGAACTTACATACACCTTCATCCACACCAATACACACCATGACTACTAATGATAGAATGTTGGGTAGTGAAAAGAGAATTATACAGAATGAGTTAGGAGAAAAGGTACGTGCTTTGAGAGGTGATTCTTACTACTGGTGATTCTGAAGAAAAACTTTCTAATAAACATATGCCTTTTCCTTAACTGTTTCAAGGTAAACTAGTGTCAAGGTAAACAAAGTGCAGATGATAGTAAATGAAGATGCTGTTATGTTATGGTTTGTTCGATGGTGTAAGTTTCTTTACAAAAGATGTTCAAACAGTTGACCGTCAACTTCGACGCATTTTGCTACTCTTGTAGACAGGTGTTGCGTTGCTTAACTGAGCTCGTTTCTGCATTGCTTTACTTGAGCACAATCATGTAAAATACAAGCAAGCAGTTTCTCTCTTGAGTCCACTCTGCACGTGTAGTCTTCGCTCATAAGCTAACTCACAAATGGTAATCCAATGGGGTAAGATTGGGTGACCTCACTGGCCAAGCAATGTCTACAAAGCGACTAACCCAACGGCCAGGAAAAGTTTCATTGAGTCACTTGCTGTTCAGAATGTAAAGGAGCTCCGACATGCTGAAGAAGTACATGTTGCCAAAGGGATATCCCCTGTGTGTTTCGATAACTCATTTTGAAGAAAATCAAGATACTGTGAATCCTCTGTTTTTAGCTGAAAGGGTTAAGACAAGGGCATATGTTTGTTAGAAGTTTTTTATTTATAATCACCTGTAGTATCACATCTCAAAGCATGTACTTTTCCCCCTGACTCACCCAGTGAACTACGACTTAAGTGAGGTAAAACTTGCTTCCGGTAAGTGTCTGTAGTAAATTAAGCATAATATATACCTCCTTAGGGAAGTACAGTTTTTACATGACAATTGATGTTTTATATGAATTCCCCCCCCCTGCCTTTTTTCTCCCCTCCAATTGCTATTGTAAAATTAAAAGGTCTTTTGACAAGCTATAGTAAAATTAGATATACCAACAAGGCACCAGATATGATTATAATTAACAATGAAATTACAATATAGGTTTTTGCTACTAGATAAATAATCATGGTTCCAATGACATTAGATATTAATGTCCTTTATATGTACAATTGAGGCCAATCATTTATGTAATTATGTATAAATTATTATTGTTATAGTAGATACATAAAAAAACTGTAATTTTATTGTTATTTTCATATTAATTGATTTATTTATATTAATTTCAACTATATTTTTTGTACTTATTCATTGTTTATTATATTCATATTAATTGATTAATTCATATCATTGTCAATTAATTTTGTTTGTAATTTTATTGTTAAGTATATTCATATCAGGTTCTTTGTTGGTATGTCTCATTTTAGGACCACTTGTCAAAAGATATTTTAATTTTACTAAAGCAATAGGAAAGGAAGTAAGAAAGGACAAAATAAATAAGGGAAATTAATAAATAACAGATCAATTGTCATGAAAAAACTATACTTCATTAAGCAGGTAGACTCTTACCAGGGGCAAGTTTTACCTCACTTAGTCATAGTGAATAATTCTCTTCTCATCATCCAATATTCTACCATAAGTAGTCATGGTGTGTGTTGTATGAAAGTGTATGTATGTTCCTCACTTCCCATGAGGCACCCTTTAGTTTGTGTTATTTAATTATGTGTATATTCTGTTGGTGGTTGAAAGGTATGTAACTCTATTGTATCTAACACTTTATTTGGTAGCGTTATGTAATAGTGTTTGCTCCTTTCTCATTTTGTATAGCCCTGAGGATGGAAATATGTTGTCTGAAACATTGGCAAACATCCATGTTTTAATTTATAGTTTGCTCCTACTGACCAAGTCCTGTTAACCTGACTTCAGGAAATATTTGGAGGAGTTAAATCAAACTTGATTTTTTTTATAATCCAATTCAAAAAATATAAACAAAATTGCTCAGATAATTAATAACACACAACCCAACTTGCTTTCTATGCTTTACAAGACATTGTGCGTTAGAATGCAATTAGCATCGGATGCCAATAAAAAAATCAACATTCTAGGAAAGTTGAAATGCTGAAATGGTTAATAAACATTTTCAGATTAACAATGTGCGGGCGCAGCAGCAGGTGCAGCAGTCACAGTCGCAGCAGACAGCTGCAACGGCGCAAACTGCCACCGCTGTTCCCGCTGGTGCCTCTCTCATCCAGCTGGCTGGACCGGGTGGTGGGCCTGCACAGTTTGCTGTTGTGTCTCAGGGAAGTTTGCTGTCTGTTGGAGGCCAACCTGCGAGGCTGTTACAGCAGGTTTGTGATCTTTCTTTGATTTTTCCCTCATTATGAAGAAAAGGCAAATGAAGCCTTCAAGCAAATTTCAAAACTTATACATTTTCTTAAATATCTAAAGATGATGCAGGTTAAATATTTTATTATCTTCTGTCCATAATGTGTGCAGACTTGCAATTATTGGCGTTGATAATAGTATTTTCTTGGGAGTACTTTCGGCTTTGTTATGAAGCACAAACATCTGTACTATCTTTACCAGTGTCAGTGTAACTTTCTATTTGTAAAAGTAGTTCTGGAATTTAAAAGGAAGTTAATTCTGGAAGAAAGACCGTGACAATGGTTAGAAATATGAACTCTTTACGTATCATGTCCAGGATCATATTAAAACATTTTAGGCTTGTGATGAAAACTGTGATATCTTTCTGTAAAGAATTGGATGCAAGAAGCATCAAACATACATAAAACTCCATTTGTGTGTTTTGCACTTGTATGTTTATGCATTGTTGTGTGTAAGTTGAAGGTAAATTCCTATACTTTTCTTGTTGCATTTTCTGTTGCTTCATTTTTCATGTTTATCATCCATAATAAAAATCCCAATTATACACTGAAGAAGATGACTGGTTAGTGAGAATGATTACATCATTCTAGAGGAGCCCAAGGAATCTGTGTTTGGTTCAGCGTTTAGGAAGTTTACTTTTATAGGGACACAAGGCCTGTTAGCTTTCCATTGGAACCTGGTAAAAACTTTGGAGTTAGTGAAGCAAACAACAGGATGAAACGTTAATGACTTTCGAACTATGGTTTTGTGTAATGTTTGCATGTCACCTAGTAGGGCTTTGCATAATGTTTGTCAATATTGCACAAAAAAAACCTGGTAACAATAAACAGTACACGGGAATCAACTAGTATGGATGATTATGGGGCAGATGTCACATTGTGGGAGGGAAATTTATACTTTAGGTACAGAGGAAAGCAAATATTCTAAGATCAGATCCTTTTTCAAAAGTGAGGACTTTCTGATGTTATATATTAAATAATTTTGCATTTTATTTTAAAACACAACAGAATTGTCAAAATATTAAGATTTAATTTGCACCTAGATTTTCCCCATTTTCAGTTATGCATTCTCACATACATTTTTTCCTTCGGCCCTCTGAAAAAATATATAAATTAAGTTTGATACATGCAGTTTGTAGGATAGGGTTTAAAGTAAATAAATCACCAACAAATTTAATTTTTAATTATAAACATTAACATTAGATCTTTTCAACTTTTTCTTTTCTTCTTTAAGCTTTTCAATGAAACTAGGTCTACGGGGTACAGGCTCTGGATACTAAACATTGATTTTTTGCAATATTGCGAATATCCTAAACAAAGTGTCTTGCAGGAAGAGGTTGACTCATTGCAGGAGGTAGATTGCCCAATCAAAAATTGTTCTTTTTCCAAAAGAATTTTCCTAGTGTTTTTCTTTATTTCATTTTATATTGTAATTCCCTCTCCTAAAATATAAATGCAATGTGTGTCGTATGTTATTTAATACCCTAAATGAGCAGTCCTTCAGTTTTTTATGTGCTCCCATATATGTTCAGGAAGACCCTTGACATGCCCAATTTTGAATGACCTTGAATCAGTAACAATCCTGATGAAAAACCAGTATTCCTTGTCGTGTCTGGAAAGGATTGATTCTGTATACTGAAGGAAATATATCTATTCAGGTCTCTGTTCCCTTTCTCTGGCTTCCATTGCATCCATTTCAGCTATTACATTTTCTCCTCTCACCATGTATTATGTTTAGAAACAAACATGGCATTTCTTTAAAGTATCATGTTGTAACGACAAACACAATCATTGACATCAAGGGCCAATATCATCTACAAAATTATGTACCTCTTTTGCTATATACATTACATAACCATCTTTAATTATCAGATATTCCGACTTCTTTTTAATATTTTTTTCTGCTCCCATTGTATTTGATTGCTGCAATTCTTTGCATAATGATACTCATTACAAAACAGATTTAATTTTGATACAGGTTCTTGACCAATCTCAGAGAAGTTTGCAAACCAAGTATTGACACTTCATTAATCATTGAGAATTTCTCTAGTAAGTGTTTCATTCCATTGTGTACATTAAAATTGCATTTATATATTACTATATTACGCTTTCAGTTTTAATTAATTTTATTATTAGTAATTTTTGTACATAAAATATCAGTTAAAATAAATTGTATCATAATTTCACTTTCATCCTATTTGACTAGTGCAGTGGTACTTATTGGAGAAAATGTTTCACTGACGTTAAGATCCAAATGGAAGTCATTTTGTGTTAGATGTTGCTATAGTGTGATTGTCCTTAAAGACTGGCCAATTCTTCAGTTTAAAATGTCTAGTGAATCAGAGGTTGAGATGGCACCTCCAGAAATAAGAGAAAAAGTGTAAATGGTGACCTCGGAATAATTTTTACAACTTTTATACTCTCTCTCTGGCGGTGGGGTAGCTGTCTGCTAGGTGGCCTTGGCAGAATCCTGCATGTCAACTGCCGTTAAAAGTTACTATGAGTCGTAGAAAAAGTACCTTATGGAACCTCTTATAATGGGTATTAATACACTTTACACAAAGTTTATAATATTCACTCATATTGTTATATCACACTTGTAAAATAACACCCATCATTACAGCATTGTTTCATAATGTACTGTTTTCTGTTCTTTCATTCACTACCAGTCCTGCACCACAGTATTTCAATACATGAAAATTCATATGATAGTAGGCCAAATATGAGAAGTTTCCTGAAAAATGATAATGTACACTCCTTTCAGTAAGTGTTTAATTTTAAATGTTGTGCCTTGTCAGAGACCACAAAGAGTAAACATGAAGTATTGAAATTGGTTTGTGAAAAAGATGATTTTTGATATGAGAGTGAGGAAGGCTCATTGAAAATGATCTCGAGATGCCTTGATTTATTTTTTCATGTAACCTATTAAATGGATTTTGTTTCCCATTTGCTATCTTTCAGCGCGTGCTGTCGAGTGCTATAGCAACATGTCCACAGGGCCGTGTGCTGGGTGCTCAGGCGGGTGCTCAAGCAGTGGCGGCTGCGGGTGGGAAGCTGCCTGCCGGGACGGCGACTGCAGCTGGCCTGCGGGTACTGGGCCCCGGTGCTGCAGCAACCGCTGGACTGAACCTCGCTCACATTGGTGGCAAGCCGGTGCTGCTGGCCAGCAAGCCGGCCACTGCTGCCGCCCAAGCTCAGGGAGCAGCCACTGTGCAGGTAATGAATTAAAAATAACAAATATTCTTGCTATATTTCACAACCCCATGTTGACAAACACCAATTGTTCTCACTTGACAATTAATTATCAACAAAATACTGGTAATTTGTCACTCCTAAAGTTGCTGCTTTTCAAAATGTGTACTTATAAGCAGGGTTGCCATCTGTCCTCCTTTTGGAGGCAATGTCCTTTTTTTTTATTTTCCTGTATACATACTTATATAAGAGTAATATATGTAGAATAAGGAAAGTTATGTAATACTGTGGAAATTTGATTTTGAGATTTCAACAGAAATACACATTTTGTGGTCCTCAGATGCCAAAAAAGTCTTTTTTCATAATATCCATTCGTCTGTCTGCCCGTTTATCAACACCACTAGTGCCTAAATCATGCATAGGATTTTTTTCCTAATTAAAGAAACCCCTGTCCATCTAGCTTGAGTCGAAGCTTTAATATGTTAAAAAACTGTCTTTAAAATTTGGGGGTACTTCAAATGTAGACCCTGAGAAATTTTCTCAAAAACAGCTCCAAATTTTTTCTTTAAATTTCTTGGAAGAATAGTGTAAAATACAGTTATAAAGATGGCATAGGTCCAATTTTCACTGTTATCTCTGAAGTGTGAATTTTTTCGGGGTCTTCCTTCAACTACAGAATTTAAGATAGAGAATTTTCCTACAAATGAAAATTGTCCTCCATAAATTGTTCTTTTGCTAAGATCATGTACATTTTTTGAAAATGTTAGTAGTTTTGAAAGTATTAGTAGTTTTCATGCAAATTGCGTCAAATATTCGTAATTTAAAAAAATAACAAAACAAGATTTTCTTAAAAACTGTTCCAAATATTTTCTTTAAACTTTTCGTAAGGATAGTGCTAAATGTGCTCTATAAGATGACATAAACATCAGTTTGCTCTAAACTTTTGTTTTTTCAAAATTTACAAAATGTAAGTTATTTGGCTTTTCTCATTAATAAAGTCATATAAAGTTTCTTGAAAACTCAACCGTTTTCTGTGAAAACTATCTCAAAATTCCTCATTTTCCCAAAAAACGCTACAAATTTTTATTCGAACTTTTCGAACGGATAGTGCTACTTGCACTCTTTAATATGATGTAATTTAAATTTTGGAGAATGTATTGGTTTTTCAAAAATTACACAAATGTAATATTTTTGAAAGTTTTTCACGCTGTTAATGTGCTAATTTCCAACTTTTTTTTTTTTAACAGCTCCAAAGTTTTCAAGGAAATTGCAATTTGGAATGAGGTTTTACTGTTCATTAATATTCATGAAATAATATTTTCGTTCTATTATTAGGAAACCAAAAACTTGAGTATATAAAAGAATATGTACATTAGGCGGTGATAGATGGGGCTGGCCAGAGTATTTGGCAAGTTCGTATAGCTAGCCGAGACCAAAGGAAAGCCTGTGCCATTCTGTTGCACCATTAATTTAACATTGTTCTTCCGCCTTAACAACCTTACACTTGAGTCATGCTTTGAACAAGTAGATTCATGTTATCCTTGCTGCCAGTTGCTTTCCAGTATTGAGAGTTCTGGGAAGTGAGTTCAGTTATGGACAGCTTGTTGTTTTAGGTTCATGAAGGTTTGCATATTATATTAATTCAGAAGGCTGTCTCATAGCTATGTGAAAATCACATGTACAAATTCTTTTTGGTGTGTCTGGGAAAGAGAGATCTGAAATCACAGAAATGAAAATGATAGTGCTGAATTCCATCTTCATTGAATCAGTAATTAGTGAGTTTTAACTTTTAGAGAGAACTATTAAAGTATTAATATAAAAGTAGTTTTTTTTTTGTGAGTTAGTAAGGGTTTTGGAGGGGCAGCTCCCTGGTAAGCAACACTAAGGAGGGGCAACACTATTAATTTCTTGATATAGTAATAGTATTACTATTAAATTGTAGTGATAATGTGTGTTTTGTTCACAAATGTTTCAATGTACAGAGTAAATCTGGACTAACTTGTATCACAAGCTCATCTGTTCACATTGTTGAGAATGGCTCCTTTCTGATTAATAAAATTTTTCATGTAGAAAGAACTTTCGGCTAGTGAACTGGTATATACAATCTATCCAAGTTCTGGTGCGACTGATTCAATAAATAATAGAAAACTGCCAATGATGTTTTGATTTTTGTATTTTTATTAAAAATACTCCACTTTTGACTCATTATTTACTGTAGTCATTCTTTGGAACTGCATGTAAGACAGCAGTCGAACTTTCAAGAAAGTCTTTCATGGAATTGTTATGCCTTCCTTCCATCACTATCTTCAATTTTAGGAGCAGCCAAAAGTAGCAGGGTGCAAGATAAATGACAAGTGACAAATAAGCAAGATGTGCGAGCACAAAGATGCATTTCTTAGCCAAAAAATCATGGGCTTTCTTAGACTTGTAAGTCGGGACATTGTCATACAGAAACCACCAATAGCCTTGTTCTCAATATCCACACTCAACCAATATTGACCAAAATCGGTTTAAGACATTTAAATCACATTCTGAGTTTACTGTTTCACCTTCTGACTTAACCTTCTCTATGAATGGTTCCCTTGGAATCGAAAAATACTGTCAGCAATGACTTTACACTTTTCTGGATGCAACCTTTCGTCAGTTTTTTTTCTTTTTCTGGCTCAATCACTCCATAATTTGTCACTTTGTTTGTGGTTCATATTGAAAGCGCCATGTCTCATCAAAGTTTCTTATAAAATTTGGGTACCTTTCAGCAGTTTCAGTCGTCACTTCACCTGAAATCGGAAACAAAACTTGGGCGTTTGCTCGCTGCGCCACCGCTGTTTTCGAACGAGCCTCAACGCAGTACTGTCTCTTTCATGTTGTGATGTACAACTTATTGCAAATGACACTACAAAAGTGTGAGCATAAATAGTAGAAATTTCAAGCTCTATAACAATATCATTTGTAAACAGATAGGTCAGCAGTATATGTTTAAAACAAATGTGAGTCACACCAGAACTTTGATGTACCATGTATATAACAGAAAAGACATGCTGGCTCTCAAAAACAAAGAAAACTTCCGTGGGCTACTTATGAGTACGTGTCAGAGTGAAGAATGGTCATCAAATAATAAGCAAAATTTTTGTCTCCAGGGTATCTCAAAAATCTTTTTAGTGATTTAAATTTGTCAAAGCAGCAAATTTATGTTTTGTGATTAAAACAGTAAAGTCTTTCCTGCCTTTTGAAGGTGAATGTTTTTGTGAATGTCATGCTCATTTATTTATGTATTGGTAAGTAATGTATAGGCACAGCATACTTCTGATACAACCTGATTCAGCACTAACATAATGAATTATTTGACATATCACATTTCCATATCTTGCAAACAATTGACTTGTGTTGCTACAATTTTTTTCAAAAGGAAACATGGAATTTTTGGAGTTAAACTACATTAAATCTACGATCATTTGGACTTCTCAAATAACTTGAGCACCGAAAGTGATGAACATGACAAATGGTTTCACAAGAACGTTTATCAAACGGCATTGCGTTATCAAGGAAGATGGAGTGCCACAATGTTATCGCTTTTCTTTACTCATAGGTTGTATTTTTTACTGTTTACATTTGGATCTCTTATTTTGAATGAGATTTGTCATTGCAGCTTCACTGTTTTGAGACAACTTAAAATTTCATTTACAACTGATCTTTATTACATATTAATTATTATTGTAGGTAACAAAGAAAAATTATATGTAATGACTAACTGACATGTAATGAAGATCAGTTATAAATGAAATTTTTGTCTCAAAACAGCAAAGCTATTTATTCCTTGTAAGAGATTTGGACCTTTTGTGAGAGCATATTATTTTTCAAGACACGCGTAACGCATAGGGAGATGAGCATAACGCATAGGTACGCAAGGGAGGGAGCAATTGTCATGTGAAAATTGAGGTTGACACAGTATTTCTGGAATGAACCTGGATTCAAAAGCAAATTATTTACTAGAAATAATGTGCTTTGTTCTCATAACAGAAAAAAATAGTAAACAAGTGTATTTCATTAAATTGTCATTACACCTGCTAAAACAGCACTGTGAAGAGAATGTAATTTTAGAGGAGGTACAAAATTCAGGACCTTAACAGAAACAGAATTCAGTTACAGCTCATTGTATTTTCTTCATCAGCACTAATGTAACCATGCAAGATTCACATACACAATTTTGAGGAACAATTCTACTCAAAGTGTTCATAATTTTTGTAATAAAGTTCACATAGCCAGTTTTCCGGTTTCAACAACAAAATAATATTTCCGTACCAAGTTACAAATATATTTATCCGTACCAAGTTGCAAATATGTTTATTTCTCTTTTTCAAAGGACTAGTTCACTCTGAAAAGAGAGAAAAAGAAACAATGTGTTTTTGTATCATAGTAATGCCAACTCCTTCAGTAATAATCACACTAGAAAGTAACATTCTCACGTTTTTAATGAAAATGTATATGGTATGACCTTTCCTTTTTTAACTGACCAATAGCTTGTTTCCTTTTCATCATTGTTGTTTTTCAGAGAATTTTGCAAACTATTATGTGTTTTGTAGGCTCTTCGACCAGGCGTAGTTCTAGCAGCACAGCCAGCAAACACAGCAACAGCAGCAACCGTTGGTGCCTCTGGAGTGACAGCGACACAGTCAGCAACCGCAGGCACTGGGACAGCTGCACCTGGCACAGCGCAGACAGTGGTGCTGGCATCGCAAGCGCTGCGGGCTGGGACAGGAGGAGCCCTGCTTCTACAGGTGTGACTTTAATGTATTTTCAAGAAAATTGTTCTTCTGCAATTATATTGCTTTATTATTATTATTATTATTATTATTATTATTATTATTATTATTATTATTCTGAACTAGATTGGCAACATTGGACCACTTGAGTCGTTTCCACTTCACTTTTACTGTTCATGGTCAACTGTCAAAGGTGTTTCACCTTGAAGGTGAGGATAAATCCTCGAGTTACAATTCTGAATGTTATTCAGAAAGGTGATAATGAGAGCATGGAGGATGATGGATGATAAGGGGTAAAGGACGAACACAATACAAACCATGCCCTGAGGGCGCGGGACTCGAACCCGCGATCCTTTCGGTACGAGATTCGCTACAGGCACTAAACTAGCCTTAGCGATCTCGGCCACTGGATCGGCAATATTGCTATATATGAAGTACTACGTGTATTTTAATTCAAGAATGGCATCAATTCCCGTGTCCAGTCTTGTAGTATTAGTAACACTGTTAAGATGCATGTGTGACCTTTGTGATACCCCAAGAGGATCTTCAAAGCATTTGATGGCCAGCCTTGGGTTTTTTTTGCAATTGGGAAGGAAATTTAGGACAGTGTTAGGGGTTTAGCTGCTCTTGACAAAAAGGCATTGGCCCCTGTTGAAGCGTCAAACTCATTTTGTCACACAAAATTTTCTGTGAAAATGTCCAAGAATCGACCTGACCTCCTGGAGAACCTGGAGAACAGGCAAGTGACTTTTCGCTCTGAGCCCGAGTTGGCTTTCATGAATAACAGCAGTCATGTAAACTGCTTGCCTGAAGATACCAAACTTTGTTCTTTATGGAGTCAAAAATCCGACTTTGGCGATAGGCCATTTTCAGTAAATACACTTGATGCAAGGATTACATGCATGTGTAATCCTTGTTCACAGACCTAGACCCTAAAGACACATCCCTTTGACTCGTATGGTTACCTCAAATACGTGTTCCATTTCATTTGTGTGTCATTCCTTTCACCCATTTATATTATTAGTGAATAGAACCTTCTCAGTTTTATAAGACCTATAAAATGTGTTGGTGTAATGTTTGATTCTGTTGTTGTTGTTTGTTTTTTTTAATCGTGGAAGGTCCGGGATTTGATTCTTAAAAGAGTCTAGTATTGTATTCTGCAACTATATTTTACTATATTTTTGTTTGAATTTTTTATTTAAATCTGAAAATTGCTTAGGATGTTGTTTGAATGTTTATTTCTAGGGTGGAGGTGGCCCTGCACAACAAATCCTACTGCCTCCTGGCTTCGCTGGAGGAACACTCAACATTAAAACACTGCAGGGTCTCAAAGTCATACCGTTGGCCCAGGCTGGAACTGCAAATGCTACGGGGGCTGCTGGAGCAACTGCAGGGAAAGGTGAGGATTTTTTCTAGCTAAGCACAAAATAAGGTTCCCTAAATGTATGTTTGTAGTATTGGTTCAAAAATACAGGTGTCTAACTTTCTTTAAGCAACTTTGATCAAATACTGAAGAAACATACAGTTTTCACATTCAGTGAGACTTGTGTAAAGTCTCAAAAAATGAGTGTGTTTTTGAGAAAGAAAAGCTCAAAATTGTAAATATTATATTTTTGGAAATATGTGGAAAGTATTCTGAAAGGACTTGCTTTCAAGTGAATATGGCTTTGGGTAAGGTAATATTGCTTTTGTGCGACAGTTGTGACTTGACTACTTTCCCCTAAACAAAATTAAAACAACTGAATATCCCTGGTAACCAAGGCATTTGTGCTTGCATTGCATTGCATTGCAACTCTTAAGTTGTGCATGGCAATGGATACTGTTCCACAGGTCGAGCTGTGTTAAGAGGCAACACCAGGCATCGCGGCCGGACAACCGTTTATAAGGGGCCGAACATTCTCAGGCACCAGTGATATAAAAAGTATGTTTGCTATTGCAGAGCCAACATCACTCTGTTGAAATTGAACCTTCTGATATTGCATATTCTGAGAAGAGACTTACAATGTCTTACCATGCTTTGTAGCTCAAGTTGCAGAACATCTAGGTTCAAGGATATTCAAGATTTTCTGGTAAAACACAAATCTTACTTTGGAGCAAGTGTAAATTATTTTTATTCTAAAATATCCTTTAGGAAAATGTTTACCTGGCAAAACAGTAAGTATTACTTTTAAGCTTCATAATAAAAAACATGCGAAATGTTTTGTGTTCAATTTGAGTGAGATTGATGCCCATGTTTCCTAGCCTACCTACAGCCATGTTCATAAACTTTCATCTTCCTGAAATTAAAAATTGTTATGTGAAACAAAGTTCTGTGTCACATGTTATTTTATAAGCATCTTGTTGGGCTATGAATGAGAAAAAGTATGTGCTTTTCTCAAAAATTATATGAATAAATGAATAAATAAATAAATAAATAAATAAATAAATAAATTCACAAATTTGAAATGAAACTAATTATTTGTTATGTGTGCTTTTATCATTAGCAATTTGAAATTAATTAATTGTTCCCATGCTTTTTCCAATGCACTGTACTAAGAGGTTTGCTGTATTCTTTTAAATCAATAGGAGATAGAAAAATGCTCATTGTATCCATACAAAAATTAGAATACATGATGAATTGTACACATATATGAATTCATTCGAACATTTTCATACAAAAATGGTTGTTTAAATGTCCTTGGACATACAAATTACAGAAGCTCGAAATAAAAACAAAAGGAAATTTATGATGAGCAGATCATGCTTACTAAACATACCAGAGCCCATGAAATATTTTGTCAAGTATTGGCAAAAAGCCATATCATACAGTCACCACAGTCACCTGAAGTCTTTAGAAGAGTCCAAGCGCTGATTTCAGAGAATCCAAGGCAGTCATTGCCCATTTATTGGAAAAGACTATTGGTGTAAGTGAACCAACAAAGCACAGAATTGCTGAGGAGAGTCTTTGTTTTGATACAAGCCCTACAGAATAACCACGATGATTGAAGGTAAGGCAAATGCTCTCTGAGACTGCAAGGACAAAGAGAGTTAGCCACTGCCATCTGCTTCTGTCTCTCTTGAAAAACAATGCTAAGGGGCAAATCAGATTCAAAATCAGTTGGAGAAATGACCATTGGCTTGCACACAATCCACATGTTCCCATTGTTGGAAGAACAAAATTTCTCACTAGTCTTCATATGCTAAGTGTTGTGACCAGCAAGGGTCACCCCACATTTTCTTAAAAAGAAAGAATCTGTAACATAAGTTTATTAGAACGTTGTATTGAGTGATGTGAAGGTGTGGATGGGAACAGTAGCATCTGGAACTCCGTGTTTTTCAGCAAGACGATGCACAAGCCATTTGGTATTAAACTGGATGTCTGATCATTTGGATATGGTTTTGGTCTAAGGAGTTTTGGCATCCCAACAGCTCCAATTTAAATCCTGTGGATTACTACATTTGGAGCTTAGTTGAAAGAGTCTCCAACAAATCTCAACTTGTGACATCATCAAGGACAGCTATTGAGGCTACATTAAGTTGAGCATGCAAGCACTTCAGGTGGTCTATAGAAGTCACTAATGCACTAGCAGAGGATATTTTGTAATATTTAATATTTTGCTAGTAAAATTTATATTTATAAAAATGGATGTTGGTCACACACATTGGCACCATGTGACCGATCTCAATGAAAGTTGGCACATCTGTGTTTTTTCTTTCAGGTTTATGTGCTGTTAACAGGGAAAGGGGGGCAACAAAGAGCTCGAGTCAGACAAGGAGGGGAAAGAGAGAGACACTCTGAGACAGAGAGAGAAGGAAAAAGAGATGAAGGGCAGAACAATGTCTACCAGGTTCTGCTAGTCTTGTTTAAAAAAAATCATCAATTTGTCCATGTTTTGGCGATGCACAACGTGCGGTCCCTCTTTACTACAGACATACAAATTAGAAATATTCCTTAAATTTTATTAAAGTACTCTTTACTTCAGTGAACTTTTATGGTTTGTACTCAAATGGAGAACTTATTCCAATAATTTTGCAAGGTTTGCTACATTTTCTTGGCTTTATGGTAATTACTTTCTTCACCATAACCTTGTGCAACAATTTCACAAGACTTTTGTCTTATGAAGTTACTGAATAATGTTATAGTTTTCTTTTTTAAGTAAAATCTTAATAATATGAAAAGAAGAATGTCAACAATCCATAAAATGTATGAAAATTATCATCTGCTGAATATACTCATCAGCTGGATATAATTTCACATATTTATGGTTATTCAGAATGTCTGTTTTTTTACTAATGACTTCAGAACAAAAAAAGTAGTCATTTTAAGATATCTCATTTTAAAGTGATGGGTGATAATTTTAAATATTTATTTCTTCTCTGAATTTCTTTAAAATGTTTATTTAGTTTTAAATACAACCTGTTTGTTCTTTTATGTGTTCTCTTGAGGATATTATTTTTCTCTCCTAATTCATGATATATGTGAACATCATCTGTACTGTAAAGTAATATGTTATGCATCTATCCTTTGTAGGTCGCCAGCAAGTATACGCGCGTATCATTGGGCCAGGCTTACGGGCCTGTTCTCCAGGAATCCAGGCACAAACCGTAACTGCTCCTGCACCCAGCTCTACACCGTCAGTGAGCGACCCTGCCACAGGCCAAGCTGAGTAGACTAGTGCTTCCGACATCTCAGAATCTTGACTTTTGGCTTAGTATGAATGATTGCCTACGAGTGACTTTTGTGTGTATCAAATAAAAATTGTGTCCGTTTGTATGTAGTGGTGAATTATTTATTTTTTTATGTTTCTACTTAAGAACGTAAAAGCACATCTCATAAGCATGTGCAAGTTGAAGTGTATGCGAGTGTTTCAAGATCTAGTATGAACTCCTTTAACACTTAACATGTAATATTGTTACAAAAACAAAGTAAGTATGAAAACAGTGCTATATTATGGCAGAATTTTATTGAAAATAAAGAGTAGAATGAGTTGTCTGTGATGATGGAGTGGAATTATTTACATTGGCTAAGAGCAGTCAGTGTAAGTTTGTAGAAGAAAATATAGTGTAAATTGTTCAAAGATAATTATATTGTAATCGGCTAGTAAATTAGAACCATACCAAAAGTGGTGAAATCGTGGAGAGTTAATGGTTTGCATCATTGAAAAATATCTATACAGATATATTATGGGACATAAATAATGTGTAATATAGGAAAGGACTAGTTCTACAGGGGTTTTGCAATTTAATCTTAAAAATTTTTAAAGCAAGAGAAATATTGTCAGTGGAGTACATGTTCAGTGTCAACAATTATACCTTGAGTAATTTTTATTTATGATGGAAATATTTTAATCATGCCCAAGGCAAACTTTTCTATTTAATCAAAAAAAGCAAGTGCATTAATTTGATGTTATTCTAATTGGAACTTTTTAACTTCCAAAATGCACATAGAACACAATCTATTTTTTCAAATGCTTTCAAACCCTACTGACAAAAGGTAGAGATGTTTGCATTTCAAAGTTAAACCATTTTCAGAACTGAATAATTCTACAAGGAGGATTGTACCAAAACTGTAAATTGGCAAAAACTCATTTGGGTAATAAGCAATGTGATTTGGATTGTGAAACAGCAATGTCTTACAATGTTGGTGGAGCTAAATGTGCGCAAATAAAAGAAAGCAGTTTTGATTATCATATATGATTATTTATGAATAATTACTTGACCTATTCTTGCTCTAGAGAGTAAAAATTGGATAACTTCTTTTGAAGTAGTTAGGTTTTCATGTTGAGTATTGGATGAATTAATTTGACTTTATCGCGTATGTGGGGTGGTCGACAAATTCTTGACGAAAGAATGGGGAACTTTCAAAGAAATAAAATATTTATATAAAATTTTTCAACGAAACTTCTATTTATTGCAATGTGCTTTCCATAACATGACATTAACAAATTTATTCTATTGTCAAAGTACTTTCTTTCTTTGCCCTCATTTTCAATTACAGATGACTGAATCTCTTCAAATCGTTAAATTTTCATCCACAAAGACCTGGCTTTAATTTTGGGAATGAAATGTATTCACTTGGGGCCAAATCAAGACTATATGGCAGATGTGGAAGTTCTGTGAAGCCACAGTGTTGAATAATGGCATTCACAAGACAGGTGGAGTTGCTGGTTGTAGTCATGCAAAAGCTGTAAGTTTTTTTAAATAATTTACCTTAACCCTTCTCTCTAAAGGCTTCTCAGGGTTTTATTATTAAGTTAGAATAATATTCTGCATTTACTGCAGAATTTCTTTCCTTGTAATCAATTTACTTTCACTGTCCCACAGAAGTATTGCCATAGTCTTTCTGAATTGTCACACTTGCCTATTTTGAGGGAGAATCCCCAATATGACACCCAATTCGTAGATTCTCTCTTTATTGGAGGGTCTTCGATTCTCTCTTTATTAGAGAGCCATGGTCTCAACGCCAGTGACGATAAATTGAAGGGTTTCGTACAAGAACCAAACTTCGGCCAATTTCAAAATTTATCAGGAGGCACAAAAACTTGTGTAGACATGCACAGTAAAGAATTTATGATTTTTCCCTACCTTATATCTTTCAACGTGTTTGACATTTGCCGAAAGGAAAATGCCAGTTGTATGGAAGAACTTGGTGAAATATCTCAAAATATGGAATTTTGGACTTGTTTGATACTCTTAAGAAACCTCTCAATTAAAGATTTCCATCACAGAGCTCCATAAACTGCTGGGTAAAGTTCACCTACACTTGTTTCTGTACAAGAATTTTCGGCACTCAAAAAGCATTGATGTTGTTCATGCACAAGTGTTCATGAAGAATTCAAAAGAAAGCTAGTGATGCCAAAGCAGCACGTACTTTCCCACCCATACGTAAAATTATGTGAAAAGTTCTCAAATTTTGAAGAAATTGTACATGACCTTATTTTAAAATCTATCTTTAGGGAACAGATTTCTTTTAGTGAAAAAATCTCTTTCTTTAATATTTTAGTTAAGACGCCGAAAAAAATTAAAATTTTTGCTTTTTTCAAAAAATGAAGGGTTTAAACGAACATGAGACCTGCGCCAATTCTCTTAAACATCCTTCATACTACCCAACAACAAAATTTAATCAAAAAAGATGAGGGCCGCAGGCCCCCGTACTCGATGCTGGAACTACGGGGCGTCGATACGCAACATAAAGCAACCGCGAGACTTATGTTTGAATCGCAAAAACACACATTCGGTCTCAAATTGAAGTCTTCTGACAAAATGCGACTATTAGGTTTATTTATAAACAACTGAAACTGCTAGGGTCTGCCTCAAACAGAGCAGCCTTCTTTCTTAGATATAGAGTCAGTTGTGTAAATAGGGGGATACGCGAAACATGTGCTTTGTTCTGTGATGTTAGTAACCGCAGAGAGTCTTACAATGATAATACTATTGTTATTTGCATTTTCTTAATATGAAAATCTATAATTGCAGAAGTGCACGTTTAGGTTATTTCAACCAGCATTCTTGAGAAGTTCAAAATTCTCTTTTTTCCATCAAAAAAAGTTAAATTATTGTAAAAACAAGTTTTTAAAATTCCTCCTCGTGGCGTGTCAAATGAAGTTTTTTTCAAAAAAGTGTGAAACGATCATATTTATGAATGCCGCGAATAGGTTAGTGACAATGATGAATAACGTTCACTGCTGGCCTTTGTCACCCTGACGTATAACACCTGATACCAGTAAAAAAGTAACTGATCGAGTATGTTCGTCTCCTGTTTCTTCTGCTGTCTTCACTCAACGTTTGCCGTCTTCTGCTCTCTTCGTGAAACAAAAATAAAATTTGGCGCTGGGAATTTTCATTGTCCAGTGTAATTTTTTTGAAAAATTTTCTTTCGTACTTGAAGATGTAATTCACTGACTGCTGTGAATTAATGTCTTGGCTACTCTGCATCCTTTTTGTACTGTACTTAAGAGAAAGCAAAGAATTTAATTTTTTCTGGACGCCTGGAACACGACACGAATTTAATTCACCTTTGCCAGTGTAAACTCACACCACTTCTCAAGTTTATGACAGTGTTAACAGGCATATTTTTCGGATGGGAGCAGGCAAATGTATGCTTCCACAAAGATGTCTTCAGTGTGAGCGCTGAATAGCAAGCATTTCTTCGCTCCGCGACTTTTATGAGAAGGGAGCTTGCAACGTGGTGACGGCAGGGGGCAACAAATAATATCTTAATAAAAGTTAGCCTTCAATTCTGACAGGAGCCTATTAATTTATGTGGAAAATTATTTAAGTGAATTGATAATGTGAAGAACAATATCTTAATATTAGAAAGATGCGTATTGCAACAATGATATAATAAAAAAAACAGTAGAACGCACAGATAAAATATATCATTACTTTTCTTTATGAAAAGGTCATTTAACGATATTCTCTGTAAAGTGAAGGAAAAGTAATATCAATTTAATTAATTACATCACATACTCTTTGTATAAATATTCCGTCAGTTTAATACTAAATTGAATCCGTTTGACACTTTTTAATTTAAATTTAATCGGTTATGAATGACATATGTATATATCTGGCACATAGTACAATGTGAAGGGATTCTTCTGTTCATTGCTCTATGAAAGTATATTTGATGGTAATCGTCTACTGCTGCAGGCGCGGATCCTCGGGAAGGGGGGAAGGATGAGGGAAAGTCAGTAACTATTAATTTTAACTTCTCACAAAACTTTCAAGTAACTAATGGTGCTAAAACAACACGTACTTTCCGGCCACATTTTCACGCAGAATTAGTATTAAAATTTTCGAACATTTGTACATAATCTTATTTCAAAATCTATCTTTACGGAACAGACCCCATGAAGGGAAAAAATCTCCATCTTCAATATTTTAATTGGAGGATGACTCCGAAAAAATTTGCACTTTTGCAATTCTCCAAAAAGCATGTTTTTCAACAAACATGAGATCTACACCATTCTCTTAAACGTTCTCCACACTAACAAAAAAATAATAAAAAATGATGAAGACATTTATTTGAAAAATGGTCCAAGTGCTTCACGTAAAGAACGCCCAAAAATTAAAACCGGTTTCAAATGCTATGGACCGCGACATCAGCCAGATCAATTGGATAATATCAATTTTGGAGAAAAACAGAAGAACGATTTAGCCGATAGCGTTCTTCACGCACATTTTTCCATCGTTCGATTTTTCGATATTAAGGACCAACAAAACATGGATTCTGACTACACCACGTGTTAGAGAATTTTTTTGTGAATTTGGCAACTGGATTTATCCACATGTTCGTTACCAGAGCTCTGTAATAAGAGTTTTTCGGCTGCAAATTTGCCGTTTTTTCGCGCAGCATTACATAACCTCTCTAATCTGTAAAAATATGTTTGGATAATCATTCCAAATAAAATCGAATCACAGCATGAGCTGAGTTTAATTTGCGTCATTCCACAAAATCTATATGACTAATATTGAATAAAAACTATCTTAATTGACCGATCACACTCGACTCACATTCAGGAATGTATATAATATCCATAGGGTGGGAAAATATAATAACCAAGGGGCGTATTTTGCTGACCTAAAACATCGCCAAAAATGAACGATAAAATACTCTTAAAATGTTTTTAAAATGCCCTAAAAGCAAAGAAAAGTGACGTATTTTTTTATCAAAACATATTCAGATACGTAATTCAAGCTGTTGGATATGTTACTAATGTAATCGCAGTGGCAGATCGAGGGCGAGGGCCATGCCCCCACCCCAAGAGGAATAGAGAAAATATAAAATGGTGAAAGTGCAGGAAAAATAAAAATGATAAACAAGGAAAATTGTACCCCAAATGTCTAAAGTATATCTAAAAAGAAGAACCGCGCGTTCCGTCCTTAGCCTTTTAGTTACGAATGCGAATCCTTCTTCACGCAGTATTTCAGCCCAGTAGTGTGGAAAATGTTCTCGTGTGACAGCTCATATCTCTTGCTTACTCCGCTTGACCATAGGCTGACAAGCGGCGGTAAGAAGAGAGACATCTACGTATTGGTGTGTGACCGATGCAATCGGAAACAGTGTTGATGTAGTAAGGGCCCACATTATGTACTATTATTATAGACCGTTTACATCAGTCGAATAGCATCTCAAGCATCATAGAATTACGAATAGCATCTCAAGTTCGGTATCTGTGGAAAAATAGATTGAAATGCGAAGTGTCGAAAGCATAAACCGACTGTCTGGCTTGCGTATCCCGCAAGTCCCGCCTGCTCCGCCGGTGCTGGCCGCACGCCGCCTGGCCTGGCTGGCTTTGCCGCCGCGCCGACAGGGCCCACAACAATCGGGAGGGTGACGCAACGGCATAGAAGGGAAAGGGGATCCCGATCCATCTCCACTGACTGGCGCAAATTCAAACACCTTATTTCCAAAAAAGTCAAATCCCCAAATGCATTAACCAATCAGACTGAAATCGACCAGGCCATTAAACACCTAAGCCTCCAAATCAATCGCTCCTTCCGAAAAGCTTCCTCCTTCAACTACAACTCACAAGACAAATTACCAACTCATATACTGCTACTATTACGTTACAAACGAAAGACTCAGAAAACTTTTTACAATACACGTCGACAGGAAGACAAAATGACTTACTTATACTACAAACCAACACTACACGACGCACTCATAGACTATGAGCGCCAAAACTGGACGAAAACGATTACAGATGTAACTACGCTCCCCAGCAAAATTTGGACTCTAATAAAATCGCTCAAACAGACTACACATAACATCTCACCACTACTACGACCCGACGGCACCAAAACTTACGACCCACAGACGATGACAGAACTTTTTGCCGACAAACTCCAAACACGATTCACTGCACCCTACGCACCCCTCCCTTCATCCACCATCTTATATTTTATGAAAACGCATCATCTCCCA